CTCACCTTCGATTTGCCGACGATATAGTCCTTATGGCAGAATCGCTGGAGGAGCTAAGCACTATGCTCAATGACCTCGATAGTGTTTCCCAACGGATAGGTCTTAAGATGAACATGGACAAAACAAAGATCATGTTCAATGTCCATGTCACACCTATGCCGGTAGTTGTTGGGAGCACTAAGCTCGAAGTTGTTGACGAGTATGTTTACCTGAGACAAATAGTCCGACTAGGTAAGTCCAACTTCGACCGAGAGGTCAATCGACGGATTCAACTCGGCTGGGCAGCGTTCGGGAAGCTACGACACATCTTCTCGTCAGACATACCTCAAAACCTGAAAACGAAATTGTACAACCAGTGCGTGTTGCCAGTGATGACTTATGGAACTGAGACGTGGTCCTTCACTGCTGGCCGTATGAGGAAGCTCAAGGTCGCTCAGCGAGCTATGGAGAGGGCTATGCTCGGAGTTTCTCTGCGTGATAAACTTAGGAATGAGGATATCCGCAGTAGAACCAGAGTAACCGACATAGCCCAACGGATTGGTGAGCTGAAGTGGCAGTGGGCCGGCCATATAGCTCGAAGAACCGACAACCGATGGGGAAGAAAGGTTCTCGAGTGGCAGCCTCGTACCGGTAGGCGAAGTGTAGGGCGTCCCCCCACGAGATGGAGTGACGACCTGGTAAGACATGCAGGAAGTCGATGGATGCAGGTGGCTCAGGACCGTGCTTTGTGGCATTTTTTGGGGGAGGCCTATGTTCAGCAGTGGACTTGTGAAGGGCTGTAATGATGATGATGATGATGACATTATCATGATCATTATTCAAACGTATAGAAATAACTTTTTTTTTAAAACTCGAACAATATTTTTCATTTTATTTAAAAAAAGTAATTAATTATATGCAAATTGTATGTGGTTTTATTACCTGTGCATCGTCTGGGGAGTAAGAGGATTGTCGAAGACCCTGTTTTACTTAGCTTTAGCATCGGCTAGTGTCAGTAAGAGGTAATAAAACTGCATAAAATTATTTTTTTAATAAAATAAAAAAAATATATGGTCCAGTTTTAAAAAAAAAAGTTATTTCTATAGGTTTGAATAATGATCCTGATAACGTACTTAACGGGAACCACAGGGTTTTTGTTACATGTTGTATAGGTGCGTCGACGTCACTGTCACTCAAAAATAAAAATATAGGTACTTACATCAAAAGTATACACGTAATTCCTTTCCTGGATAGTGGAGGGGTAGACAAGTAGGCCGTTGACACACAAAACTCATTCAAAAAGACTGAAACCTCGATAACAAACAACAAAAAATTATAACCACGCTCCGCCATATGCACTGCCCGCACGCAATATGCAAATGGACGAGCAAAGGCGCCAAACTATTTCTCGACTTTTCGATCGCTTCCGAGCTTTGACGAACGCTGTCGGGTCGGGCGGAATACTGGCGCGGCGTGTCCTAAAATCGAAATGTATTTTGTGTACATCAATATTCCGAGTTTGGCTTTCAGAAAATTGGTCGAATATTCGAATATAGCAGATTTAATATTCGAATATTTGGACAAGGCAGAACGCACTTCATTACTAACTTTTTATCTAAATCTAATCTTTTCCCAGTTTAAGACGTATTCACTGTAGAAAACAGAAGCTTAGACTAATTGAGATTGTTTGTGAACAAAACCGTGTAAACTCACGTAATAATAACTCTGAAACACGTGTTTTTAGAAGTCAAATAATCCTAATTATTGACCAATGGAAAACAAAAGCAAAGCAATTAGTTATTATCATAAAAATATTATTACGACTCTACCTGGCTCTAACGCAGCGTTTGTCGGTGAATGAAAACTACATGTTTATTGTCCAATAACTTGAAAGTACATAAAAGAATGACTTCTTTAGATATTCGATATTAACAACAGAATATGCAGGTGTACATTTCTTTTATTTATCTTATGGGATTTCGTTACAATTTATAGATAATTATGTTGTTTAAGTGTGGTCTTAAACATTTGGCCGGCAGTGTATATATGTACAAGCTCGATTGCACTTTATCCCCACGTAACGAGGGTAGCTATTTATTCGACTTTGCAAGATTCTTCTGCACATCACGTATTCTGTGCTCCAACTGGTATTGAAAAGCAAGTTTTCAGGAGCAATGAAGTTTTCGATAGTCTACATATCAAACTAGAGAAATTAAAAATTTATTCCACAGTGTCACAGTCCCATGGTGGTAAGAGGCGACAGAAGGAAACTGAAACAGAAGATAGGCGTCAGCATCTTCTTGATAACAACTCAAAATAATATAAAACTGCAGTTGCCAACCCGCCTGCCAAGAGTAGCAACTATGGCAAAATCCCCCCTATGAGGCAATCTATGGGGGATGCCTATGGTCAGCAGTACATTTTAATAGGCTGTAAATGTGAAGTGGTTTTAAGATATTTTAGATTCAAACTTAAAAGAAACAACACGGCAATAGTAATTTGCTGGGTTCGTAGGTTAGACTAGATGTCTAAAAGCATTAAATCGCCGCATGACTGAAATAGATGTCCAACCAGCAGCGATTTATGCTTTCACTACGGATTAATGATCCAATACGCTGCTTCCTTCCGTAATAGTGTACTAATACATGTAATAATCCCTTCAACATTTAAATTAGTACAATACAAAAAGGTTCAAAACTTTTTTATAGAATGAGTGTGACCAAAGAGTACACAAAACACACAAATGCTGTGTATTTCGTAGACATTTACATCTATCCTCAAATACGAAACAAAATGTAGGTGATTTGTCGTCTTGGAAGACTAAGATGGAATGCCTTGTAGATACAAGGCATTCCATCTTAGTAAAAAGGGTCTCCGGTTCTCTACTCTCACCATACAAAACAGCAGCATTGAGCTGCTATTTTACGCTGATATTATGTGAGAAAGTAGTCCTTATTATATTAAACATCGTATTAGTATTTGTTGTTATTCAAATGTAATATCAGATAGCAGTCTGACAATTTGGAACTACCGAAATATTTATCAAAAATAGGATAAAACACAGCTTGATAATAACTCAATAATGATGTGTAATGTGTCTAGGGATTAAAACGAAATCAATAATTTACGTGGACAAATCAAGACTCAGTGATAAGTCCCTGCTATCATTTACTTAGTCGATAACCATATATTTACCTATATAAGAGGAGCCCTTATCAATTGTGATTTGTTGAATAATAAACCTATCAGGTAAGTTTTTAACTAATTATTAAGTCTCACTGATTTTATTAATTAATCGGCATTTTAATTCGCAAATAACAGATTTGATTAAGAAATAACTTTTTAGTATGTTCGTACTTAGTAATTTTATTTTGTTATTAAAAACAAACAGGAGTTTATGGGCCATTTGTCAACTACGTCTTCAATGTATTAGGCGCTGCACAAACGTAGACACTTTTGTGTCTTGTGTGGGATACAAGCTACCAGTGTATATTTTATTTTCATGTAATCAATATGAAATCAGCTATGCCTTGCGCAGACGCAGACACTTTTTGTGTCCAGTTGCTTCTACTTGACACATACTGACCGCCAATCAAAAAGTGTTCGGTGTAGGTAACTAAAACCTTGCCGTCAGTTGAAGACACAAGCAATACAAAGCAAATTTCCTTACGACAAGTCCGTACAACATAACGTTGTACGGACAACAATACTAAAAAATACTGTTAATTCTTGCTGTCATTCTTCGGCTCAGTGCTGGATAAAGGCCTTTCACAGAAAAATCATATGCCGCAATCGTCGCGTTCGGCAGACGGCTAAGCATTCGCAGTATAAAACGTCTTGCATCTTATACTTTTTTCCTATCGCCAGTTTGGATACGCATCTTGATATACGACGAAACGGTAATACAACCTATTATGTTAAAGGTCATAAGATGCATCCACCAAACAAGGGCACCATCACAATTGTTTACATAAAATTGCACACTAAATCGTAATAATTATTTTTTTCAGACAATGAAGTTACTATTAGCGATTGCGTTTCTAACGGTGGTTTCGGCTTTGCCGAGACCCAACATTCACGATCTTATTGACTTTAGACCTTTGATCGTGCCTTATGAAATATTTGAGAATGCCGAGGAACCCACGCACGTGCACGTTACTTTTATTAACTTTGACTCTGGCGTCGCTGTCAACTTTGTAGACTCAGCGAACGAGGAAGTACCTGAAGGTACCGCCGTTAAGTTTGTCGACTCACCTATGAATGAAGAAGTAAGCAGCGACGACGACGGTGTTGCCGTTCGCTTTGTGAATTCAGTTAACGAGGAACAAGCTGATGATGGTATCGCTGTTTGCTTCGTCGATAACGTAGCAGAAAACCTCGTTGACGATGCCGGAGCCGCTGTGAATTTCGTAGACTCACTACTTAATGAAGAAATAGCAGCTGACGATTCTGGCATTGCTGTTAAATTTGTAGATTCTCCCGCTAACGAGGATGATATCGTCCGTGTCGCCGATGAACCAATCGACGAAGATGACGGAACAGCCGTCAAATTTGTGGATTCTCCAATCAATGAGGAAACATCCGATGATAACAAATTCATTCCTTGGTACCCAGGAAAAATTTACGATAACCCCATGCTTCGCGCTAAGCGCATACATTAAGCCATGTTGTAACAATATGTATCTATTAACGTTGTACCTAAATATAAAAATACTTTTATACATTTAAACGTTTGTAATAATATTATATAAGTTTGTATGTATTTTTATTTACCTTACCAAAACTTATGTACAGTAAATGAAGAGTTATTTTAATTTAACAAACAAACAGTCATCATTCATGAATTTTGCAAAACAAAAGGTAGCAGAGGATTACCATGATGAATAAAAATTCTTGGAATAAAAATGATAATACTGGTAATCTGTAATGATAATAATTATATTTTAAGTCTATTTAATTACTGATATCTACATTAAAGTATTTTATTAATCTAAAATCTGAATCACTGCCCACACTTGTCTCTATTTAAGAACATAATCTTCTGGATAATCCATGACCTTTGGATATTTTTGGACCTCCTCCTCTGGTATATGATCGAGTCTAGTTGGCACTAAGCGAATTTGGCGAATTTGATTCGTTATGTTTTGTTTTACTTCTTCGGGTATGACCTCTCCAGGGTAAATAAACAATCGCTCCATTGTATGTCGCCTTTGAAGGTTTCCTTTCATGGCTCTGTAGACAGCTTTTTTGATAATCTGTGAAATAAAATGAAAATATATGCCCAGATAGTTCCAAAAGGTCCAATTGAATGTGTACAAGTGTCAAGTTTCTTGAATGCAATCCCACAAAGGACCTATAATTTCCGTTATTGGATGGATGTATGAATCATTCCTCTCTAATAACTAAAATTATATGATGCTGATTTTATATCTTTCAGTGGTTCCTAAATTTTGCAAAGTTATTTAGATAGTTGCCGCTCCATTTTCACTTAATAGGTAGTTTTTTTTTTACAAAATAATGCATAAAACAGTATAATAAGTTATGTATTTCTAGCGGAATTGAAATGAATATGACGAGCGGAAAATTTCTTTTTCAAAAGCAGACTATTCTTAAACTGAAAGTGATTACTGTCCGCCATAAGGACAAGATCTGATTCAGACATTTTACTTAAAATTATTTAAAAAAAAGTTTTTAAGTATCGCCATATCGGGCTAGGCTTACTTAAACTTAGCCGTGGTAGCTCAGATGGTTAGCGCTCGCTGTAAATTTCACAGTACACGAGCAACCCGGGTTCACCAATGAAGTTGTTAATTGCAATTTTAAGTGCTGATTTACCACGTGCTCGGCGGTGAAGGAAAACATCGCGAGGAAAATTATGTGAAATATTTATATTAAAAAAAAAATCATGTCTGAGAAATAAGAAAAAAAATTCGAAGACGTGTGAAGTTCGCCAACGCGCATTGGGGCAGCGCGGCGGACATTACCTTGCCCTAAATCCCTCTCAGAAATGAGGGGAGGCCTGTGCCCAGCAGTGGGAAGTATATAGGCTAAAACTTTAACTTCTAACTTAAACTTAATTCCCCTTTTGCGATTTTGATCACGGCGGCAACTACGAAATACGTTGCAAGTTGTCTGTTGGTATGGTTATGTGACATTACACTTATAATATTCGTATGGTACGCAAAGATGCTGTGTTGAATGCACATTTTGATTTCTTTTTTGATTGAGGCTATGGATGAATGTGCAATAGTGATAAAACACTAGCATTAATCTGATGCATGTCTGACATAACCCTTCCATATTAAGCCAGGAGTACTTTGTTACTACCATGCAAGGAGTAATTAATTTAAGTAAATTAATAATAATAGTTATTTCCCCATAAAAAAAGAGATGTTAATTGGAAGAATGATGAGTCTGATAGCTCAATACAAGATATACATTACAATCACAATTATAAAAGTCTTTTAATTAATTAAAAAATTAGAAAAAATTACTATTATGGATGCTCAATATATTGGTTAGATTAGTGTTGAATGTGTATACTAGTGCTAGGATATACATAAAAATATCTGAAGAAAATACAAAAAGCCTATATCATAGATCATGTCCTTGGAATAACTCACTTTTATACTTTAAAATACAAAAAACTGGTCAAGTGCGTGTCGAGCCACGCACAATATAGAGGTAGGGTTCCGTAGTAGCCCGTGACAATATGTGGGCTTTCTTGTTAATAAGCATAGTAAGTGAGTTCGCGCTTTGACTGCTATAACGACTAAAAATAGGCCCAAATAGGAAGATCGTAACTGAAGGACTTATTTTAAAATCAGACTTATAGGGAGATGTATTTAAAAAAGATTAAAAGCTTCAATTTTGAAAATAATACCATTTACATCAAATCATTCACATCCCAATGTACAAAGATGATCATAGTTGACGATCTATCTATATATTCCCGGCAGTGCAACGCTAAGATATACATATATAACCGTAACAAACATCCACGTAAACTACCACTGCCTTAAATTATCCTGAAGTCACCCGCGTAAACCAAGAGTGTGACGCATGAAACTGTATGAGGCTATGCGATTGTATGGATACTTTGAATGAGGCCTACAATAACTACCAACTAAAAAATAAATGAAAGTAGTAAGTAAGTATAATAGATCCTCCCTGCCTATCCCGTAAATGAAAAAGTAAAGCTATAGTAGTAATGCATATAAGTTGTTTTCTTCATATAAAATGCTTATTTATTTTTAATAGTTTTCAATATCATAACAAAATTATAATGCAGCTAATTTAAAATCAAGTGCATTTTATAAGTTGGTCGACTATTACTCGTTAACTTCTTAATTCTACTCAGTTGTGATAGTTTTCCTCTTTGGGAGGGTTGGACAAATGACTAATGAAAAATACTACTTTAACGCTAAATATTTCCTGCCTGAGAGCCTGGTCCTACCCTGGTCGAGCCAACCCATTCGTGCTACAACCATAACATAGCCGCAGCATGGTTCTACCACACATACAGTGTTTTTGTAAGTATGATATGTGATATTATCACCAATTGAGTACCGGTTTTGATAAGTCTTTTTTTATTAAGTAAGTTATACTACAAAATTTCACACCCACGCGTGGCAAAAAAGGGAATGACGTTTTTAATGTAACTATTTATCAATATTAAGATTGTGTTATTCCTTAGCCTACTCAAAAGGTTAAACATAACTTTTAACAAAAAGTTAAAGTAATTCTGAAGTTGTGGCTTTAATTCTTCTCTACACTATATTAGATTTAGCACTTCAGAATGTAAAATTATTTTCAACCAACTTCAAAAAAAAGGAGGATGTTTTCAATTCGACTATTTTTTTTTTGATGTGTGCGAGCCTGGTCCTAGCCCAGTCAAGTGAACCCATTTGTGCTACAACCATAACATAGCTGCAGCATGGCTCTACCAAATATAAAATCTATTTGTAAGTATGTTATGTGATATCATCAACAATTGAGTACCAATTTTGATGATACTTTTTTTATTTGAAAGCTGGTACTTCTCATGTGGTCCTATATAAATTTGATATTAAAATCTGACTAGTAGTTTTTAAGTTATACCTAATAATGCATATTTAATTGACTTTGACGACATTGATGATGTTATCATTTTATTTATATATTGAAGTCCTTTCTACAAAATTTTTAATTTTACCACTTGTATTCTTTTGCTCTTTGTAGTTGGCTTTCACTTTATGTTAAAAGTATTTTTTTTTTGTAACAAAGCAGTCTACATTAGTCCTTAAGGGACTGCACCTAGACTTTTATTTTTAATTAAGGAGAGATATACGTGTCTATGAGCCGCAACTTCCACTTACAATGCTGCATGCCCATTTGACACATTCAGTAAAATATAATACCATCAATACATAACTTGTAAAAAAACCAAGTCTCACAACTCAGTTCTTCTACCATAAAAAGTTGTGAGATCCATGTAATACCAAGTCGGTTGTCAAATAGATTAACTTAGCCATCGCATGAAAACACAAGATATCTCTCAAGTAATACATATTATATTAAATTAGATTAATTAGAGCGATTGCCAAGTCAATTTATTTGACAACCGACTTGGTATTTCATGGATCTCAAAACTTTTTATGGTAGAAGAACTGAGTTGTGAGACTTGGTTTTTTTACAAGTTATGTTTTGATGGTATCTCATTTCTTTTTGTAGATAGTTATATCTAGGTACCTATCTACACCTATTATCCCATTATTATATTATACATATATAGGTACACTGATTCATTTACTGCAAATGTAACTTTGTAATCCTATATATTTATAAGGGATTACAAAGTTATTTATGCAGCTGGTGTATCTCAAAAACTGGACTGAAATTGCAAAATATTTTAATTTTTTCTTCATTTATATACTAAACAATAATTGTATTCCAAATTTGAAGCTTCTATATCTGCTAGAAGTGCCTTAGAGTTTTGATGATCGGTCAGTCAGTGAGTGACAAAATTAAGAAACTTTGACTAATTATAATTCTTAAACTACTGGTTCAAATTTATTGAAATTTGAAATATACTGAGTTTATATAATTCCTGCTTGGTTGCTCAACTTGGCGGGGGCACTGCCGTGCCCCCAGAAATGAATTGAAAAAATCAGGTTCACTCCATCTGAAGGGGGGGCGGGGGCGGATCCCACACTCCGCTTACCACCAAACTTACTAACTAACTAACTATTGAGTTCCTTACCATAGTTGGATCTTTATTGTGCAATTCCCAAGCTAATGTCCATGTAGCACCTCCTGGATATCCCGTGTGATGGAAGTATGCTCGTTGTCTCCATTCATCACCTCGTAATGCAATCTCTCGGCTGTTGATACACACAACTACGTCACCACAATCATTCATGGGATGATATATAGGCTTGTGTAAGCCCATCAAATATTTTTTAATAACGTTAGCCGATTCGTACGGATCTTGCCATTTACAATCAAAAATATGCCATGTACGAGCGAAGGTAGCCCATTGCTGAAATATTAATAAACGAAATAAATGATATCAAAAATGATAATATAAAATAATCACAGAAATATTAATGAAAATACCTGTGCCCTTTTTACCGCTGACATCATTAAATTGAATGGCTTTTCCTAAAACTATTTCTTAAAGACATAAGAAGACAAGACGACGCTTTTTAATTTAACAAAATATGTACTTTAGATATTTTATAACACGAAAATTGAGGTTAGGAGCTTAGAACGATGTCAAACACAGAACATTAGGGGATGTCAATGTCAAAGCTGTCAAAATCTTATATTTATTTATTTTAGTGATGGGTCAACTCGAGTTATATCAAATTGGATCGCCCCCACTCGAGTTTGGGCTGCTGTACATGAACGGATCAAGTGAGCCAGCAAAAGAGTAAGAGCGCGATTCGTTCGTTGTGTGCGCGCGTTTCAAAGAATATTTAGCTACTATCAAAACAATTTGTTATATAGAATTTAATAATAGCTAAGTTATATTATTTAATTTCTTTTATAAATTTGATTAATTATGATCAATATAGTTATGTAACTCACAGACCTATTATTTTAATACCCGAAAAGGGTGTTTAAGTTGTAAGATACATCATATTTTAAATTAACGCCAAATAAAACACTTAACTTACAATAAATATTATCAATTTGAAAAAAATTGAGTTTATGTAAGAATATTTTGACTGTGATAATTAAACTATTAATAGCTTATTAAAATTAAAATCCATTTATTTCTTTTTCAAGGCATACTAAAATAATAAAGTTATTGGAGCCTCCTAGTAAGTATAAAAGAATACCTGTATCAGGAGGCACAAAATAAGCTTATGTACCTACTACATCTTAAAGCTAGATTGATATTGTATCGTGAAGACTGCTATATAGCTAGTTTAACTGTTGTTAAATACAGGTACTTAATATAATTAAGATTAAAACGAAAAATACATAAGTTTATGATACATACCAAATATACCTTTTCATTTAGATCCTGAAAAGCCATTCAATTTAATGATGTCAGCGGTAAAAAGGGCACAGGTATTTTCATTAATATTTCTGTGATTATTTTATATTATCATTTTTGATATCATTTACTTCGTTTATTAATATTTCAGCAATGGGCTACCTTCGCTCGTACATGGCATATTTTTGAAGAATGTGGGTTGAGAATGGGTGAGTCAACCGTCAAATGCCTTTTGTACGCCGATGATCAAGTCATATTTGCATCGTCGGCGGCCGAGTTGCAAATGATGGTTACTTTAATGAATTGGTCATTGAAAGAAAGGGGTATGAAAGTGAACGCAAGTAAGACGAAAGTGATGGTTTTTGAAAGAGAAGAAAGTAAAACTTTATGTGAAATAAGAATAGAAGGGGAGTTGATTGAGCAAGTGGATGAGTTTGTATATTTGGGATGTTTATTTAGCAGGGATGGTAGATATGATAAGGATATAGAACGACGAGTGAACGCAGGAAATAGAGTGAATGGGGCTCTACACGCTATTATGAGGAGTCAGAATGTGTCAACTAAGGCACGTATGGCAATTCATAATGCTGTGTTAGTCCCTACTTTAATGTATGGTAGTGAAAGTTGGGTCTGGCAGAAGAAGCATGAGAGTAGAATAAATGCTGTAGAAATGCGTTCCTTAAGGAGTATGCTAGGGCTGAATCTGAATGACAGAGTGAGAAATAGTGTGATAAGAGAAAAGTGTGGTTTGCAAGATGACGTTGTGACAAGGATTAAGAAAGGAATGCTTCGGTGGTTTGGTCATGTAGAAAGAATGAACGAGGAAAGAGTGACAAAGCAAATTTATGTTGCGGAAGTGAACGGCAGGGTCGGGAAGGGACGCCCTAGACGAAGGTTTATCGACCAAATCGGCGATACATTAAAAATGGGCCAGATTAGGAGTACCCATAACCGACGGGCGTGTATGCGTAGATATATGGATGTAAAAGAGGCGAGAGAGGTGTGTCAGGATCGCGCCAAATGGAAGTCCGTAGTCTCTGCCTACCCCTCTGGGTGACAGGCGTGAGTGTTTATGTATGTATGTATGTATTTAGATCCTACATAATATGTTTGGTAATTATAGTTATCCCAACCCACCAAAGAGCTAGAAAGAAAAACAAATTTATAAAAAAGTAATTTGTAATAAATCGTTTACTCTGTTTCGTACTTCTGATTCGAGATAAAACTCGAGTTGCGTGAATTTTAACTCGAGTTGAAATTTTGTTGAATTGTTGTTTTGTTTTTGTTGAATTTTTTCGAGTTGGCACATCTATAATTTATTTATCTTTACTTTGTCTATGGCCAAAATCAAAACTGTTTTGTTGTCGTTACGATTCGCCAATAAGAGCAGGCAAAGATTTTAAGGTATACAGCTTAATCTGTCATAATTTGTTTATTAAATTCTTTACTTATTGCTGATACGTCACATCTCGTACGGCCATCCATCGCAGGCCATCATCGGTACGGCCATGCCCCCAGATTACTTTCAATACTTTTTGAAAGTAATCTGGGGGCACGGCCATTTTCGGCCCCCTATAACTTCGTTGTGGATAAAACTAAAAGCCTAAATTTTCAGTAACCTAGCATGTATTGTATAAACACGGTATATTTCAAATTTCATTTAATTTCAACCAGTAGTTTAAGAATTATAACGAGTCAAAATTTCTTAATTTTGTCACTCACTGACTGACCGATCATCAAAACTCTAAGGCACTTCTAGCAGCTATGTCTGCTTCAAATTTAGTTACTGTTCAAAGTTTTTAAGGAAACACCTGATGCTGATGATATTCCTACTGCCAATGCCGAGAATATATACAGAGCTCTTATTGATTCATTAAGTAATCGTAATGTTCCATTGACAAAAGTGATCGGCTTTGGCTCAGATAGGTGTACTGTCATGATGGGTGATAACGACTCAGTAAAAACAAGGTAATTACGCGACTTTTTAGGGATCATAATCACGAAGTACGTTTGTCACTCGGCCCATTTGTGTGCCAGTGAAACCTGTAAAAAGATGCCTGAAGGTGTGGAGCCACTGGCTAGAGATATCTACAACTTTTTTAAACATAGTCGTAAACGGCTATTTGATTTTCGTAACTTCCAGTCGTTTGCTGCAGTGGAGCCTCACAAAAAACTGAAATCATCACAGACAAGATGGCTTTCCTTATTATCAGTGGTTGAAAGGATATTAGAGCAATGGGAAGCCCTACGTCTTTTTTATCGATTTTACAACAAATCGTGCACATAGAGAATGAGCCGATGTAAGAAATCGAGCAGTATTTATTCTCGAAAAACTCAGCAACCCATTCTACAAACTTTATTTCTGTTTTCCTTGAATGGTTTTTTCAGTAAGTTCGATTTGGAATTTCAAAGCGAGAAAGTAGTCGTTCACAATCTACATGAGAAAATTCGTACACTCTACCAGGAAATCCTATTGCGTTATTTACAATGCGAATATGTCATGAGGTCAAATCTTGGTGAAGTCAGCGACATCAGCTCCATGACGCTGCACTGTATCTTGGCGTCAAAGTGTATGAGCTCTTAAAACATCCAGATGTGATCAGAAAACCTGCAGATATTGCACAGTTCTTTTCAAGCTGCAAAAGTTTCTGCAAAGTTGCAGCCACCGAAATTAAAAAACGATATAACATGGAAGATCCTGTCTTGTCAAAACCACAAGTTTTTGAGCCTGCATCAGCGCTCTCTTACAATTTTAGGAGCAATTTCCCTTTCCTTCCATAAGAGGCATAAATATGCCTCTTATGGAAGTGGTCCCCCGTATAATCGCACCTACTGATCATGCAAAGAAACAAATGATCGACAATCAATGGAGGAGTTTGCCAAATGCACAAGCTCGTCATCCTAAAGGGTTGAATGAAATTAGTGAGCCAGATAAGTTTTAGGCTCAATTACTGAAAACTGAAGAATTATCCGAGCTAGCTCATTTTGCCCTATCTACACTGTCCCTACCCCATGCGAATGCTGTCTTTAAAGAAAATTGATTTTACTAAAAACTCAAAAAGTTTTTAGTAAAATAAATTTAATAAAGACAGAGATACGAAACCGGTTAACTGTGGAAACAGTGAACAGCACATTTCTTGCTGCAGAGAGCGCAAAAGTTTCAACTCGTACTGGAAACTGCGTCAATTTTGAACCCACAAAAGAAATGTATAGCCGCATGACAAAAGATAAATTATACGGCAGAAAAAACGATGAGAGTGAAGATGTTCCTGACATAATATTTGGAGAGGAGATGTAAATTAAGTTACCTTTACCTTTTTATTAAATTTTAATTGTCATAATAATATAATAATAATAGTCATTTATTTCAGGCTTCTTTTACACCCATTTCAAATATCAATAAATGTTAAATGTTAAAAACACAATGAAAATATAATTATAACGATACAATAAATAAGATAAATAAAAGACATTTCAACTGTAATCATAGGTTAATACTAAAATTACTTAATTGCCCCCAAAAGGGAGTTCGTTCTATCTATTTACAGTTATTGTCGCGATGCACGGCACGCCATTATTGTAGTATGGGATTCTCTGGGCACTCGTAGCATACCCTGAGGATCTCATTCTCGGAATCACGGATGCGGGACCAAAAAGCTGCAACTAATAACGGCGAAGTAATCGGGCACCCCTGCGTTGGCAAACATGCTCGACGCACTGCAGCATTTAGGCAGTTTCATAAGAAGGCGGAATGCATTATTATACTGCACTCTAATGCTGCTACGTGCATTTTTTGTACTGTCCAACCAAAGCTGACAAGTATAGAAGCATTGCCAATATGCTCTAAACAGGGTCAGACTTGCCTTGGGACTGCCAGAGCCAGAGCCCTCCTTTCACGTTCTATATCGAGGTTATCACGCAAATCCTCAGTCAGGATATGCCTCAGGTACCTGAATAGACTCACTCTTGCAGCAGTTTCACCGTCCAGAAATGCTAACGGAATCCTCTCCGGGCCTCTGCCCGAACGAAACACCATCATCTGCATTTTATTAACATTATACTTCAGGCCATGATTCCGCGCATAATGCTCGCATATGGCTAATAACTTTCGAAGTCCCCTGATTGAGGGACTCAG